CCTGTCTTCCCACAGCCAGCTCTCCTCTTCTACCTATGCCACATGCACTTATCTCTTTCATCATTGTGACAGTTCTGGTATCCCCAGGATGGGGAAACTGAGGCACAGAGCAGCTTTAGTGTCTATCCAGGGTCATAGCTGATAGGGGCCAGAGTGAGAATGTCACACAGGCTACCCAGCTCCAGAGGGCTGGAACCTCTGCCCCATCCTGTCCTAGGGGTCCCTAAGGGCTTGCAAGCGTGAACGGTGGCTGTTTTCCTCTGCTTGGTCACTCTTTACCTTCCTTGCCCATCACCAACCATTGTAAATGAGTGTCGAATGGATGAATGGATGGATGAATGAACGAATGAACTACTCGGCTTGCTGAAGTGCTTCCAAGTCTCACTGAATTCAGGCTGAGCATCCCTAAGGCCCCTCAAGCCCCCCCCTCCCATAGAGTCCCCCCTGTGCTTCTTTTTTAAATTTTTTTTATTTTATGTGTATTAGTATATTGCCTGCGTATGTGTAAATGCACCTGTGTCATGGTGGGACTGGGAATCGAACCTGGATCCTCTGCAAGAACAGCCAGGTGTACTTAACAGCTGAGTCATCTCTCCGACCCCATCCAGTGTGCTTCTTAACAAGGCCTTGTGGAGAACAGGCTGGTAAATGTGGGCTACTTATCTGTGCCTCCACCGTCACTCTCTCGTCCTGAGGCTGAGGCCTTTGCAGACACTCCCACCCCAGGGCCAGTCCCCCACATACCCATGCCTGTGTAGGTACCTACATTGAAGCCAGGTGCCCAGAGGGACAGAGAAAGTGGCCTTTTCACCAGCTGCTCCCTCCCCTCAGTGCCCTGGCTTCCTGGAATCAAGGGTGCCTCCTGACATCCTGCACCCCAGCTCAAGCTGCCTGGTTTCCTGCTTTGCTTTCACAGGGCCCCCAACTGGGCGTGTCACATCCCTGGTGTCAGAAAATGTCAGCAGAGGGGCTGTCCCGGGGCTGTCTCAGGGGCCCGCTTCGAGTTGGTAGTGAGTTTTATCAGCACCCCACCCCCATCAAACTCAATGTGTCAAGGGACATGGTAACATCCTCTTAGGGCCTTCTGTCCCCAACTGAGAAACTGGACTCAGCATATGTCAACCCTGCCTCAGTAGGTCCCTGTGAGACGATCTGAAATACTTGCTTTAAAGGACATGAGAACTGGGCCTGTGGGACTGTCACAGATCACCAGGGTTCAAATCCTTTCTCCCTGGTATTCTGGCTATGTAATCTGGGACAAGTTACCAAATCTCTCTGAGCCCTAGTTTATCAAATGAGCTGAGAGGTACCCTCTTCAGGCACTGGTGTAAGGATCAAGCACACTAATAATGGGATGCTTAGAGCAGAGACCATTGAAAAGGAGTGGTGGCAACTCAGGAGGAGGAGCTCACAGAAATAGGAGTGCTTGAGTGAGTGCTGAGGAATGTATAAGAGTCTGAGAGTGGATTGTTTGGGTGTAGGACTATTTCAATCCCAGGGATTAGCACGTGACAAGGAAATGAGTTATTTCTAGTTCCTGTCTGTCGCTACCGCCACCCCCCCCAGCCTCCGACTCTGAAAGTAGAACACATGACCCAGATCCAAGTGGTACCTTGAACTGCAGACTGTAATGGCAGTGAGAGCACTTAGGAACAGTCCAGTCTGGCTACCCAGTGCCCCAGGGGCAGGGGAGCTGATGAGAGCTCCCCAGGGTCCCCTAGTCAGGGACAATAACATTTAAGCATCCATCTGGTGACATCAGAACATCCTGATGACAACAGAGAGTCTTTGGAAACAAAGTAGGGTATAATGTGGCCACATGTGGCTCTTAACGAGACTAGAATGTGGGGTGTGGGGGGCAAGGTGGAAGGATTTGTTCTCAGCCTGTGACCCATGGGCTGCATGCAGGGGTTACGATGAATACAAACCAACACAACACTGTAAACTTAAAACATCATGAGACAGAAGACCAGGGTTTGATTCCCAGCACCCACATAGCAGCTAACAACTCCATAACTCCAGTTCCAGAGGATCTGACAGCCTCTTCTGTCCTCTGCAGGCATTGCACGACATGGGTGCATTTACCTATATGCAGGCAATACATGCATACACATAAAATAAAAATAAT